CGGTCGTGGGCGGTGGGCCGTGGGCGGTGGGCCGTGGGCGGTGGGCCGTGGGCGGTGGGCCGTGGTTCGTGGTTACAGAGCAGGCTAAGGCCTCCTCCCCTAGGGTCCATCGCGACCCGGGCTCTCCTGGGAATCCGCTATCCTACACCTGCCTGTAGCAGGCGGCTGCAGAGGTTATCCAGAACGGACCCATGGGGCAAATTGTGACATTTCCATTTAACAGACGTAAAAACTGAGGTTTAGAGCTGTTAGCTGATGTCAGGGCCATGCACCTGGTCGATGGGAGAATTAAGGTAGTAGCATCCAGGTCGTTGTAACTCTATATACTGCATTGCTCTCCCTCCAACATAGCAGGCAGTTAATTACCACTCAAAAGAGTGAAAGGAAGAAGGATGTCAGGATGACTTCGTTACTCAGGAAAAGGATCTTTGCTGAGATTTGTAAGGGTTCCTGCCCCTCGTTCTGGTCAGTGGGCATCTCGTCTCTGCCTCTGCATGAGTATTGAAGCGATTCTGGGATGAAACCCGATCTTCAAATGGCCAAGAGCAGCAGTGCAGGGGGAAAGCGGGCATGCAGAATCTTAGCTAGTTCCTAACCAGATGACCTGCGCAGTGCATCTCGCTTATTTTTTAATTGCCTAGGGGCTGGGGCACTGCCAGAGAGAGGGGGCACTGGCAGAGGGAGAAAGCACCCACCAGTTGGGCCTGATCACGCTGCTCTCCTTTTGCTCCTTTTCTTCATCCCACTGGGATTTGGGCACCCGTGCGCCTGCATCCGTGCTGTTTTTCAAGCTGGTATGGGGGTGAGGGGATTCTAAGTAGTGGGCCAGGGGCATCGGGGCCCTGTGTGCAGGGCTTAATCACTGCAGTACAGGCGCAGGTCCGCCATTCTTGATTATTGAGACTGAGATGGTCGTGCCTTCACATTGAGCAGGTGACAGTTTAACTAGATTTTTCTTTTTTTTCCCTCTTTATATTTAGAGTCTAAACATAGCAACTAGTATCCTGGGTCTAAGTGTGTAAATACATTCATGGAAAATGAGTCACAGTCAGTAACATCAGGGCTCCAAGGTAAAGATTTCTTGTGGAGAGAGTAAGGAAGCCTCAAGAGAAAACAAGTTACTGGAGCAGGAAGAAGGGGGGGGGGCGGGGAAGCCACACTTAATTGTTAAGATGCATCTCTGGGGCCAGCAGGTGGCGTAGTGGTTAAGGCACTGGATCCCACAGGGCCGACTGTGTGCTGTCAGTCCTGGACACTGAGGCTTGAAAACCACACCAGGCAAGTATGCAGGCAAGTGTGCACGTGAGCTCACAATCCAGAGAAAACGGATGTGGTGTGGCCGTCCGCACTGGAGGGTGCCTTCTCAGTTTATCGCCCTTTCTCTCTCTCCCCAGCCCCTAGTTCACATGCCCTATAGCACATTTAAATGAAATAATGATTAATTAATAACAACAATTGTGGGGTACTTAACATCTGACAGAGGACTCCTGATTGGACCACCCCGATTATTCTTCCCAGCAATCCTGTGATATGTGGTGTTATTGCCCCATGTCGTGTAAATGGGGAAACTGAGGCTCAGGGGCTCCGTGACTTGTCCATGGCCCTGCGGTCAGGAGGCGGCTGACTGGAAAACCTGAGCCCTCCTGACACATGCTGTCTGCCTGCCCCGTGTGACGTGCGACCATTAGCATCGAGGCAGGGGCCTACTCTCCTGGCAGTCTTGGGTCTGAGCAGAGGCCTCCCAAGGGGACCAAATTCCAGAGGGTGCTAGTGACAAGAAGGGAAATAAAATGCAGCCTTTAGTTTGCGGCCAGCTGGGACTTCGTAGCCCTGGAGTTGACTTCATCTTTAGAATAGGAGACTGCCACTCGAATCCCGGACCCCATGGCTTAAACTCATGCCAGGTGTGTATGCATGTGTGCCTAAGATCCAGAGAGAAGACTGGAGGAGAAGGGATTGTGGCGTGGCCATCCCCTCTGGGGGGAGTGATTTCTCGCTCTCTGTCTCTCTCTGTCTCTCTGTCTCTCTGTCTCTCTCTGTCTGTCTGGCGAGCGCATGCACCCTATAGCAAAAACCTCTCCAAAAAATAAAAGAATAGGAGACAGCCACAGCCACAAGGGGGCAAGTTCTCCCAAATTCTGTCTGGGAGAGGGCCTGCGTCTGTCCCTGAAGTACCTGATCTCGGAAAACAGGGCAGTGGTTCCTCAGTGTGGTCTCTGGACCAGCAAGAGCACATCTCCCTGGAAATTGGTTGGGAATGAAAAGTCTTGGGCCCACTCAGATCTTTGGAGTGAGGAACTCGAGGTGGGACCTGTCAGTCTGTGTGTGAAGGAGTTCTCCAGGTGGGCGATTCTGATGCACATTCAAGTTAGTTTGAAGAACAATCTTTCTGGGAAAGATAAAAGTGGTTGTATGAATTTGTAGTCCATCAAAATTATCATGAAAATGGGAAATAGTTCATGTATCCTCAGAAGCCCAGGTTTGGGGTGTGCTTTGTCCTCAGCTCCCCTGCTTCCCTGGCCCCTCAGTCACCTAGAGCCAGACACTGGCGGTGCTGCGAGGGTGGGGCTAAAGGGGTCTTTGTTTGTAGAATTAAAAAGATAGAAAATAAATATGACAAAACAGTAACTTTTAAAAGGTGGTGGTATAAATATGAATGTTTATTTCTTTTATATTTTGCTATATAATGTTTTTCAAAATTAAAAAAGTAAAAATAGTATTTTTGAGTGGTAGAGCTTTATGTTTATTTCCGATGCAGTAATTGAATAAATATGCATAAATAAATGGATGTATGTTCAAGTAAAATTATTCTCTTTAAAGTTTGTTTTTGTTTTGCTTTGCTTTGCTATAAAGCTTGTGTGTTCACCAAGGGATGTGAGAGATCTTCCCCCCCATGCCGGGGATGGCCACATGTCAGCCCCTTCTCGAAGCTCCTTTCTCCTGTTCGGATTTTGGACATGCATGCACATACAACCCACGTGATTTTCAAGCCACCAGGTCCAGGACTTGAATCGTGGTTGGCCCTGTGGGAGTCTAGGATCTTAACCACCATGCCACCTGCTGGCCCCATGTGAAATTATTCTTATTTTTAAATGTGCTAATTTGTGTGCTTGCTGGAGAAAGACAGGGTTGGGGTGGAGTGAGAAAGCGCACCTGTGGGGAGATGGCCATGTTGCAATTCCTTCTCCTCCATTCTACTCTCAGGATTTGGGCTCCCACACACATGCACTTGGCACGTTTTTCAAGCCACCAGATCCAGGACTTTAACCACGTAATTGTCCATGTGGGATCCAGCCACCTTAACCACCACACCATTAGCTGGCCCTAAGTAAAATGACTAAACAATCTTTGTTGCTGCACAACTAGTCTCTGAGTGACAAACCATTTGTTTGAATTGTTGTCTTTAATAACCTGGAAGGAGGGACCAGCACTTAGCATAATGGCTATGTCGCTGGACTCCCAAGTAGTCGACTGCAGTTCGAGTCTCAGACCTGGTGGCTTAAACTCATGCCAGGAGCGTGTGCATGCATGCCCAAGATCCCGAGAGGAGAATGGAGGAAAAGGG